ACGAGCTGCGTGTCTGCGCACACTGTGCGCCATGTGCACCCGGACGTGTGTGATGCAGTGTCTCGGCCGACGAATACACCGCCGATACAGCAAGGCTCCGAGACTCCGGTCAGGACGAGTATTGGGACTAGCGGCTGGCGGGAAAACTGCGGGACGAGACGGATTTGGGCAAACCTTTCTGTACGCCGTCTCTGCTTCGCTCGGGTTCCCTTAAAAACCCTGTTCTCGTCACCCCCAACTTTTTCCCCTCTCTCGGCCGGCTCGAAGTGATGCCAGGCAAAATAGCCATCCAGTCCTTAAGATGAGGGAAAAGGACAAAAATAGCCGCAGTTCTATTCCACAGACAGGCCGGCTGGCCGGTTGGCTGATACAGTCGAGTCGCTAGGCCGTCAGGGCTATACAGGGGGCCGTCTAATCGGACTTGTTGTGTAGAGAAATGGGCTGGAACTTCTCTCACTCCGGCTGGAAGTCTGGCCAGGGCACACGGCGGAATCGTGAGTGGTGTCATGGTGATTATTTGGGATGGCGTTAATCAGAGAGGCAATAGGTTACCTACGAGTTTATTAAATAATCTTATTCAGAGAGTTTATGGAAGAAATAGAGCAATCGCAAGTGAAAAATCTCAATGATAGTACACAAAAGAGATGGGTTGGCAGAGCCGCAACCATCTTTGCCCTGAAACGCTTCAGGCCAGGCAAGCAGCAAGAGAGCAATTAATTTAGTCCTCTGGTAGATTGCTAATTTATGTAACCGAACATTTCTCCACTTTGAGCCCATAAAAAAAACTTCAAGTTGCACATAGGCTTACTGGGTGATGGAAACAAAGTTAAATACAATTATGCATGGCTTTTTGCTCTGGTTGATTCATGAGGTTGCGCCAAACTACCTCAACTTATTTCCTCATCACTACCACAAGGCAGTTAGTGGTTGACAGCTGTGTGCGTTAGTATGGCGCCAAAGTGCACTACAAAAAAAATACCCATAAATTTCACCACAATAAATAACCTGCAAATATCGACAAGATTGCATCGTGGCGCTAGAATTGTTGGGGAATGGAAGCTACAAATCAGTGAAGATGAAAAAAAGGTTCGTCAATTGGGCTTTTCTTCTAATTGTGCCAGGAATGAAATGTCGTAGGGCATATCCTTTCCTGGTAGGACTGCAGGTCAGGGTTGTCTGTACCATCCAGCAATCCACAAGGTACAATGGGGAGCATCAGCAAAATCAAGGTTTAAAAGATGAGATAAATCACATTTCGGACAGACTCATCTTATTACTCCTTGATAAAAAATATAGGTTTACAATGTTATTTTCACGCTTAAGTTATTCATCCAAATATTATAAAATCGCATTCTATTTCCTCCTCTATTACTACATAATCGGCACGTAAATCCCTAAAATCAGAAATATATATTTAAGACAATATTTAATGGGCAAAGCTGCGCACAACTTTCGAGTTTGAGAAGAGGCAAATAGCATACATTATTTATCCGTTGTCCAGAATAGGCCTCACAAGCGCCCTAGATTACCAATGAGGAGGCAGGCCCGTTAGTTGGATTGCCAACACTGAAATTAATAGACTCCGCGATGTCTTTCGAATTGCAAAAGATCTATTTCCAAAATGACTTCATCATTCGGGCTGAGTTACAGTTCAGGATTTTAAAACGGGTCATACATCTGTTGTCTCCACCATAGCCACAACTGCCGGTTGGCAACAGAGAAAATGTGAATTTCAGGACAAGTCAAGCCTCGCTCTATTCGCATCGTTCCTGTCTTAGGAAAGCTTTCAGACGTAATGCTACATTACGTCCTATTTTTTATAATTAAATCCCCTGGTGGTAAAAAGCACCACATTCGCGAGCACTTAGATTAACCGTATGCAATAATAATACCCAGAAAGAAGGATGGTTCGCACCGTGGGACTCAGACGAGAAATGATGAGCTGTATGCAAAGTGTCGTAAAAAAGTGAA